AAAACAATATTTTATGAATATTTTATAGAATAGTTTAATTATTTTGAGTGAAATTAGGAATCTTTAGAAGGGAGTTTCATGAATTTTTTTCAGTACTTTTATATTCTTATGTGGATGTTTCTATCATATAAAAGTATACTAGAGTTAGTATTAATCTTTAATTTATATTTTTTTATGAAGTCTATCAATGATTAGAAATAAACTTCATATTCTCTTTTACATCTTTTTAACATACTTTAAATCAATCATTTTGCCATATTGGTTTTAAATATCCACCTTCCTTGTATAACACTATTTTAATATTTTTTATTTTGCAATGCTATACTTTCTCAAATAAAGCTTAGTTTCATATCGGTCAAAAATAATATGAAAATTCAAATTATTTTTAAATTATATTTGTTTTTTGTCAATTCAAATATCAACATGAAAATTTAAATTGGGTGTATCACATTTAAACAAACATAAAAAAATAATCGGGATGTAAGAGTTTAAAGAAAAAAACGAGCACAAACTGCCAAAAATACTCATGGTATTAAATCACGTGCATTGCACGTGTGTAAAAACTAGTAATTGTAAATATCCGAACAATGAATTTGAAGTTAATTTCTTGAATAAATGCTACAATTTATTTTTGCAACAAACCAAACAGTTCGTTAACTACCTATTTCATTTATTATGGGCTCTATGTTCCGTAATCGAGCTTTAAAGCGGCCTTGACAAGCGCGACTTACAAGATGTAGTACTCAATAGAGCCATTAATATAAGCCCAAACTTATGGCCTCTCTGAATGGGCCACTCCACGATTATACCCGGGCAAAGGCTTGTTAACCAGTTAAGTTGCGCTCAATTACCGTGAGCCTCATAATATTCCTTGCTAACTATAAACAGTATTCCTTGATATATTACTGGAGGCTCAAAATTATTTGGCTTGCCCTCAAATTAAAAGCAATCGCTTTTAAAAGAATAAAATGAATTTTTTTTATTTATCAAATTCCCATAATCTTTAAAGAGTTCCATGCTCAATCTAGCCATCTTTTAAGTTCATTCATCCCGCTGTTGATATGTTAGAATCATTTGGATTTTTGACGCGTACAAATATTAGACGATAACATCACGTAATTGAATAGCATCTGAAAAGATTTGGGTGCCTCGCCTCCTTTAGCATAAATTTCGATAAGATTCCAAATATTTCCTTAATATGTTTGCAGGCATGTTACAGAATTATTGGATACTTTTGATGGAATGCTCCAGAGATTTATAGATCAGGAATGATTTGATGATCATAATTTTTCTTATTGATGCATCTTTATTTTTTTTTCCTTTTCCTAAGTTTCCCATGTCAAATCCCAACAATTTTTAGATATACGTTCATTATCTGGCTTAGCATTACCAATTAAACTACTATAATTATCATAAGAAGGCAAACAATCTACATCACTGAGAAAAATAAAGTAAAAAAATTTCGCTCAAGAGATTCGAGTTGTGCATTTGTTTAATAACGCCAAACTTTACGTGGAAAGGATAGCTCGATCGCTATCTCTCGGGTATCCGTTCGAGTTGATTGAGGAAAAGTTGGCGCAACATCGACGCCTCTTCACCAGACTCACGTGACATCACATGCCAGCTGTTTTTTTATTTTAATTCCTTAGGTCCGGTTTAGCAAAGAGTTAAGTAATTGGTTAATAAGACTTAATTAACACATTCTTAACCCACGAAACGTAAAAAAAAACCAACACAATGGTTAAAGTAAGTCGACCTTTTCTAAGTTGCCAAACGCAAAAAAATGCAGAAGGGTTAAGCTACTCCCTCTAGAGGGATTAAAATGAGTGAACCTCCTTAAAATGAGAGGTTTATTAATATTTCTATTTAGAATGATGAAGAGTTAACATTTTTAATTATAAAGAAAATAGTCAAATTCTTTGTTATTCCCGAGCACTAAAATAAACATAAACGCTAAAATAAAACTTATATAACGGATTAATAATTTAGCCATTTGTGTTATCAAATTAACTATGTTAATCGATCTTCATATTTCCTCTTCTTTTAACCCTTTGCCAAACTAGGCCCTAGAGGCCCTATACAAAAGGAGGCGGCCGACTAACTAAATATGTCAACAAACAGCAGTGAGTTAATATTTGCCGAAACAAAGTCAATATCTAGCAGATTGCAAATTATGACTAAGCACCGCCAAGTGATGATTTATGCTTATTTACGAGGGACTTCTTGGCATATTTGAGATGTTATGTCAACTAGAAAGAATAACTATAATTATAACTGTAATTTATAGCGTATGCTGTTGAAAAGAACGACCAATTATTTAAATATTACTCAATTTTTGAAGGGGGAAAAAGACTATAAAATGCCTCCAACACAATTTATATGGCAGAAAGTGTAACATTATATTGTTAGTTTTAAATTAGTATGCAATATCGGTACTGTAATAATTGAGTAATGTCAGAGCAAAGTAAATGATGTATCATGAAAATTATCAACTTTAAAATGTATGGTTTTAAAAATTAGTTCTCTCTCTCAGATAATTTTTCTAAAAACAAATTCATCTGTATGTCTGTATATGTATAATAAAATGAACATGTAGAATTAATTATATATTATAGATTATTATAACTATTACTATCTTAATTAATTTCCTTACAAGTTTTGGACGAAGATGATAGCGCATATATATGTTTGTTCAAACTGAGCAGTAATATCACAAGAAATAGACCAAACATTAAATAGACCAAACTTATAATTAGATGTTAATATATTATCCAACAATAATATGTCATTTACTTCATAGTATTCCCCCCCACCCCCTAAACACACACACACACACACTATATATATATATCATAGTACATAAATGGTTATAAAAATACAGAAATGATTATAAAAATTATTAACTCAACTTATTTTACCATAGCATAAATGGGCATAAAATATATGTATTTCCGTTTCTTAAAACATAAAATTACTTCAAAAAAACCCATAAAATATAAGGGGTGGTTAAATTAGCTGCCCTTGTTACCTTGTACGTCCATTGCTATTCCCAATTTTAATGAATTAAAAATGTCTTAACTTTGGTCCATAATTTCAGAGCAGAAAGCATCTCGATCAGCCTCCTATGGTCCTAGTCCTAATCCCCAAATAAAGACACCCTATAAAAAAATTAAAAATTATATCCTCAACCTAATATTTTTTTTTTTGTTTCTCTTCCTTTTAATGCGACAATATTGTCCAATCTTATATTACAGTCAGACTCCATTATTCTTAACGTCTTATCTATTCCAACCAATATCATCAAGTTGCCACTCAATAATGGAAAAAATAATCATATAGCTAGCATTATATATAGATAGAAAATCACGCGATAAATGAGGTAACTAGGTAGTTATAAATTATGTGCGTCTTGCCATCAACTTGAAGTCTATACAAACAATATGCCAAATTAGTATGAATACTAAAATCACTGCACACAAATGAAAATCATTAGAAACAAGATAGTGAATCAATATAAATTATATAACACAAACGAAAATCATTAGAAACAATATAGTGAATCGATATAAATTATATAAGGATGATGTACTTATTCTAGTTAATAGAGATCACACTATAAGATTGGGGATGTCATCTTTTCATTTGCAACCAGCTCATTTTCTAGTAATGAAGTGGCCGAAGCCTCACTTTAGAGGAGCCGTCTATATTCTGAAATAAGAAAAAGCAAAGACATGAATAATATACCTATCATGATGACCATCGGCTTATAAATTGTTATTGGAACATCTGTAAAAATTTTCTTCTTTCTATATGATAAATAATCAAGTTATCTATTGCAAATTATATGGAGAGGGGAGAGGACCGTTGCGTTATTAACTTTTTATTTGTATGATGTATATAGAAATTTGCGAAGCCTGGGGGCTTTTGTGCAAAGTTTCTCCATAATTGAGGGCACTTTTGCGAAAATTACCCGTCAGTCATGAGCTGCCCGCTTCCGACACGTGCCCTAAAGAATCTTACAGACACGTGCGAGTCGGAGCCCTTTTCGGAGTTTGCCACGTGTCAATCAAGTACGGGTTTGCGTCACCCGCGTTGGACTCCCCGGCGGGTTGGGCCCCTTGTCGGCGAATCTGGAATCTCGTAAAGTCACTTTTTATCAGCATATTTTGTACTCATCTGATTGCTACTTACAAAAGCGTCCCTCTCCTTTGCATCTATTTACAAAAATTGCACTCTCTTTGCGTTCTTGCCTTCAGATACGCATACAGCTGCACACCTCAAGTCTTATTTATTAGTTGTAATCTACATTAGTTAAAAAAAAAACACACAGGCTAAAGGGGGTAAATCATCAATTTGAAAAATACAGGGGGTAAACCATCAGGGATAAATCATCATATATGCAGATTTGAAAGTTCAAATCTATAAAGGGAAAAGTAGATATCCCTATATGACAATAATACGGCTTAATCTTCATTAAATAAATGAAAAATGAAAGAGAACATCGTAACAGTAATTAGCTA